GAAGCGGATAAATACATGCTAAAGAAAATTCGTCCTCACCTTCAGTGAATGCACACTGTCAATATGTAGCATACTAAGATGTGGAAGAGTTATCCAAACTGTCGTAGTTTTTAGTAGCTTTCCATCTAAGATCAATCTGTAATGTAGACTATGAAAATTCAACCATTTCCCATAAACCTCCGTTACCATTAATAAGTTTAAGAGATGTTCGGTTCATTTGAAACATATAAATACCTAATGACTCTAAGTCTTATTATAACATTTTATCAATGTTTGTCCTGTAGATTTAAGTATAACTTTGTTAAATATTATCGTTCAGGTTTCTTTTGAATCAAATTTAAATCACAATGGATATGTCACTTTTACTAACATCCTGTTTTGAGAATTTAAAGCGATCATCGTTTTGTTAATGCAATCAGTTATTTTACTATTTCTTATAGCAGGACATTTTAAAAAACATTGAACATTGAACCTTCAAATTGTTCAAGTTGTCAAGTTTATTCTTTGGTGTCATAAATAACTTTAAATTGGATATACATATTACGTCATAATAAAATGATCAGATATTCATTCACGAAAACTATTGAATAATCTCTAAAGAATATAACTCTACCATGTTATCAGAACTAGTCAGTGTAATAATAATAACAATAACAATAATACATGAACTAGATAAACATTACTGTCTGTTTTTCAATAGTAAGTTCTTTTTGTCTACACTTCTTTTTCATTGACAAGATTATCTTGAAAAAGTAATTGTAAGATGTATAATTGTGTCAGTGATTAGTTTATCATTCATTTTATACAATTTCAATAAAAACATTCCATTTTAAACAAAGATAATGGGTATAAAATTAAAATGAGATTAATTTCAATTTCTTATTGAATTAGATGAATTACTAGCAAAAATGACAAATTTTATTCAATGAATTTGGTTTCTTTAAACAACACTAGTCATTTAGCCATGACGTAGAGAAAATTAAAAGATACATAGTTTCGTTAGATAATAAATATCCATAGAAAGTATGATAAAATGTTGGAATAATTAACTTTTTACTTCAAATTTCGTGACTACTTTTGTAGACATGAATTTTAAAAAAAAAAATACATATTTCTCTATAAACAGAGTAATGAACACACAAACGAGATTTTCATTGTAGGTTGAAAGTGAATCCGATTACCCAGGATGAGACAGATATCGTTTACACATCCATTTTTCCAGCGGTTTCTTTTTTTTGTATTTAAAATTTAACTCTGTGACATTTTCCTCTTTTTTTTTACTTTTACATAAACAATGATATTTGTAAAACTTATTCACACATTATCTATCATTCTAACAAACATAAATCTTAATTAAAATGGAATTTATTTTCGGCATTACTTTTTTACGTGTTGACTTATTTGAACAACACTGTGATCAGTTAAAACAATTTCTTTGACAGAAAATCTTTTTAATCAAGCATTCTTTTTTCATAAATCATATGTTTTTAGTTTTTTTTCGTTTTAAGCTTTCAAATTATTTACTATTCATGCTTCACCTACATTTGACTATTATGACTGACTTAGTTTATCAATTAGCTTAAATGAAAGCATCAAAACCTATTTTCCTCATTGTAAGTGAACTGAAATGATTGAACACAATATTTACTTCTTGTTCAAAGCTTCAATAAAGTATATCACAGCAAAAGTATGAGTATTCCGATTCTTAATTTTTTTTCGCAATCTAAGCTTGTACTGAAAAGTTTAATCAAAAATGTCAAGGTCAATATTTTCAACAACTTAATAAGCTTACTATTGATAACCTGCTACTATGATGGACTAATTAACAAGATTGCCACCAAAAAAAAGAGTTGCTGAAAGACACGAGGTATTTCATTTGCATCTTGCTGTATGTTCTGTAATCTAAGTTCGTTATACTCTGTCTTTTCCCATTTCTCTTCTGGTTTCTCAGCCTTCCAAAGACTCCTTGTTTTTTCAAACTCTTCTCTTCTGTAGCAACTCCTTACTAATAATAAATCGGTTGATTAGCTCCCACCACATTAGAAGTGTTATCAGTTAATACTTATACATCATATGTAGGAAATATAATATGTGTGGACGTTTATAACTCAAATGAATGACTTTGGTGATAACTAAACAATTGAATCAGCATAATTTAACTAAAACTCGCCATAACGAACAGATGAGTTAGCGTTTCTCTGATTACACGGCCGATAAAAGTTGCCTTAAGTGGACACTACTTTATGATCACTACCAGGGACTCTAGCTTAATTTTTCTCTAATGATCTCTATCGAATAATGAGACAACCAATTTATTCGTTTTGCATAAGATGGCATTAAAAGGAGAGGATACAGTAAGATAATCGTTTGGAAAATATTCGTCTTATTTTTTTATGAGGTAATAATTCACCACCTATAAAAATGATTTCATTTCCAGAGTAATGTTTGTCTCTAAGGAATAGTCGTCGCACTGAATTGATATGAATTTTGTTGAGCAAGCTATGGAACACAAATTCTTGTTATAATACTGTACGTTTTTGAAACACTTCTCCATGAACTATCAAGTAGGTAAACAAATCAATATATCAGTGAGTATATATCTGGCTGTGACAGACGTTTGTTCAGTAGGGTTCCATCATTCTTCGGCTCTCTTACTTTGTGTCGTCAGAACTGTTCTGGTTTCCAAACTCAAGAATCTAGCAGCATGATGCGAGACACAAAATTCATCCAACATAATTCTTAGATACACCTGAGAACTTATATCTAAAGAGTTATGAAACAACTGTTCTTCTCGATTACATGACTCTGTTTATCTGAACCAAACTAAGATATGTCATACATTTCTCGTCAGAACTGTCTAGAAATATATCGAAACAAAAACACACAATGATTAAGTTTGATAAAGTTTGGAAATTAATGTTATGTTTCCAGTAGAAAAGTGAAATACACGAAAGGGTCACATGTAATTGCGGTGGGATTTCAAACATCAATACTAGCTGAAGACCCAAGAACTTGAATTAAGCCATCATTTTAGATACTTCAAGTAAGCTATATATCACCAAGGACATAATAGAAAATACTTCAAGGTTGAATAGCATTCATTTAACGACATCAAAATTGATACAAGAAAATTAATCAACCAACAAAATCCCTAATTTACAGAGTAAATAAAGAGATTTTAAAAATAAATGTTCGTATAAAATTAAGCAGCGCAGATGAAAGATTAGCTTGAAAAAGTAAAGATCAAACAATATACAAACACTACACAGAAGAACTAAAACCTAGTGCAACACTCATTCTACAAGAAAAATTGAAGAATCTCCACCTTCTGTTTATCTAGGTTAAGAATGGCCACTCAGTTCGCACGTTCACTTAAGAGATCATATTAACCGGTGCTTCCAATCCTCATTTTCACCTTTACTGTACAGTTTGTGATGGCTTGTTTTCCTTTGATATAGAAAAAAGGATAGATTTATAAATCATGATGTTTTTTCGAGCCACCCTGTTAAAACGAATCTAGTAAAATGACGGTTCAATGTTAAATCACAATTTAATCCAGAAAACTACTGTTACAAGAAATAATTTCAATTATCCAGTCATTTTCTTTCACAAACTAGGACAAACACTGTAAAAGGCACTTTAGCTTCCTACTTCATACATGTATAAATAAATACAGACTGAACGTTTTAAATCATAAGGTTATCAGTTGTGTGAATGAATACCAGCAATCACAGATAAGAAGTTGGTGGAGAAATTAGGAAATTGAGGATCTTTAAAATTCTGAGCTGCTTAAAATATCCTTAGAAGTATGTCATTAAGGTTAATCTGAAGTAACTAGACTTTTTAACATAAATTCAGCATATCTATTCATAGAAGAAAACCTCAATCACTCATAAAATCATAGGTCAACTGGAAAAGATAGTAAACGAGGATAAAAAGACAAATATATGTGTTTAATAAAACTTGAAGCGTTAACCAATTACAAATTCATCGAAATCTGTCGACTTGGTGTCAGTGGAATACTAAAAACATTCATTCTTACTTGGAGTGGGTACTGAAGATGCTCAGTGAAATATGTTACTAAGAAATGTGTTCTCTCTTCCATGCCACAAAAGATATTCACAAAACAGCTAACTCGAATTATCGAGTCAAGATGGAATCAAAGGTTTGAAACTGTAGTTGTTACCGCATATTATATATACTCAAATTTATCGTTAATACAAGACACGTACTTACACTAACGAAATAGGCCTCCAGAAAACAAAACACCTTGATGAGAACTACTATAACTAGAATTTTTCGCATTACATTGAACTTCACAGAACTAATTTCATCTTTAAATCGAAAATGATGTATGTATTTTAAACAGAGAAATGAGAAGACATATTTTGTGAGATAGTACCATTTCGTGCTTTCTCGTCAGTCACATACAAGCAACATGTTATTCGTGTCTTCTCATTTATTTAACAAAGGGAACCACTGTTTTGTATGTATTTTACTTAAGATTAAAAATACACAGCGACTTACCTAATACGAACTATTTTTCATTTTAAGACTAGTTTGTGGTAACAATAAAAAAAAATTCCTTACAATAATTCGAAGAGAGATGGTGGGCCGTGACTCAAATTACTTACCTACTCACCTTTTTTACTTACTTACTCATTTATTAAAACTAATACTTTGATAAACCTATTGGGAATGTAATTTATTGTCATTGATAAAAATAACTAATAGGTAAACTATAATCATTTGAATTTTAAAACGAAAAAAGAAAAACTATCCAATTAATTTTGAAGAAAGTACTTTTCATATCCTGTTACTTCTACTTCAAAGAATACATTGAATAATTAATGCCAAAGATAAATGGAGGCTGATGTTAGTTTGTTTTTTTTTTTCTTTATTTCGCCAAACAATTTGAACCGACCAATCATAATTCAGTTATTTTAATATTAATCACTTATATAAATAATGGATAATATAATAAATACGAATAGAGATAAGGAAAACACAGATAGGATTGTGTATATTTACACAGAAAATAATAAAATTTCATTTTCAATTATCTAATAGACAATTACAAAGTAAGTAATGTTTATTGAATTTATATATATATATATATATTGATTTTATTGTTATCTAAAAAATTTATTAGAACTGTAATGATATTTGTACCGCGAGTCTTCAAACTATATTAAAACTCAATTGAAGTAAATGACCAGTCATTGTGAATATACAATAAGTTGAAACTTCAGTTTAACATTGTACTCTACTGAAGTAATTACGATTTTATTTTCAGAAATTTTGGAAAAGTTGTTTGCTGAAATAATGCGTAATTTCATTCGTAAAACAAAAATATGTTTAACACAAAATCTGTTGAACATTTATATTCTTTATAAGTAGTCCTAGTTCATTAAAACTAGAAAGCGTTTGAATTCCTTCAAATTTTGCTTTACAGATTATTATTGTATAAATAATGTTTTAAAACAAAATACTTTGAATAACTATTGAATAAGTATCAATTTTTTTTCATTCATTTGAAAGAGAGTGATTAGTTTATGAGTTTACTTTCAGCTATTTGATCACGCTTTAATTTATAAAATATGATGTCTTGAGAAAGTTGAAACAGACGTTTAGTGTTTACAAACCACTTATTCTCTATAAGCTTTAGCTAAGCCTCCGTTGATCAGGATAAGAACAAAGATTTGAGCAAACTAACATGCACTCTTTATGATGATGTGAGAGAACTAGTTGTATAATATTAGTCTTTATTCTTAAATTTTCATAAATTATAGAGAGAAACTATTTAAACTCAATACGAAACACATTTATTCATAGCAAAGATAACTTATCAAAAAATTTTCGAATTCTTGAAGTCTAAAAGAAACAAAAAACCTGAAAATTCAATTTATGAAAAATTGAAAACAGTTCATTATTCATTTTCTGTCACTATTGTTTAAATTACATGTAATTAAGATAGATGAATTGACTTATGCAAAAATTCTCTATCATATCAATTTTATAAAGTCAAATTTCACGTATTAAATTATCAAGGCAAAACTTTTCGTAGATAATAGAAAATATAAAATTGTTAGAAAAAATCTATTCATTAATATCTGTTGAATTTCAAGAATAATTATAATATATATATACCGATAGTCATAGGTATAAGCACCACCCAATGAACTTGTTCACATCAGAAATCATTAAATATTCCTTATGAATAAGTATCTTTCATTAACTTGTAACAAGATAATGTTTATTATTTATTTGAATAACGTATAAGTGCATTACAGAATCTATCAAAATTCTTAAGAATTAACATATCGTTAATTAAAATAGCGTTATTACTTGTGACATATGCATTCTGTACTAATTTAATAGCATAATCTATAACACATCACATAATATTAATTATTAATGATTTTCATTTTATCTACAATGTTATCATCATGTAGTAATACCTTATAAAAATCTTTATAAAAAAAATTGTAGGCTGAATCTATTTGTTATTATATAATAAATGTACATTTCGAATTTAAAATTTTAAACCTTTTCCCAACTATCATTCACTTGAAATATGCGCGTACAATGATCAAACCAAATAACTTAGGCAATTGACATTAATCATTTAGAAATAATTGAGATATTAACTCTTATTTTTATTTTTTGCTCACTTAAATCATGAATAAGTTATTGTTAGACCACCATTAGAAACCTGGAAGCACTGGATGACCGTTTCATCCTGGTAGGGGACTCATCAGCAATGCGCATCCACGACTCCTGTACCTCACAGGATTCGAACCCAGGACTTTCAGTCTTGCGCGCGAACACATTACCTCTAGACCACTGGTCCGGCATCCAACGGTGTTAATGTCTAACTGTAATCAATCTACAGATTTTGCGCAATCTCTCATTATTGCCTACACCCGACAGGATTGAGCTCCACTGGTCATGTCTTCTCTCTAGGACTCCAAGAATTTCCTAACGAAACTAGTCGCCAGTGAGCACATTTTACAATTTTTCAATTACAGTTATGGAGATTAGTGTTTTTGCACATTGGAATCATCAATCGATCATTGGTGATCTAACAATGTTTTACTGATGATTGCATTATGCAAAAAACACTCATCTCTATAAGTCTAATTGAAAAAGCTAATCTGTTAGTCAGTGCAATATTATGAATACAACAAGCTAATCGATTATCATAACAATCATAATCTAACAACTACGTGATTATACATAAATTATACACATTAAAAAAATTAATTTTGATTATAAATCAAAGTTAACTGAATTGGATCAGATATTATTGTTTTTTTATTATTGAAAAGAAAAATGAACAAGCCTGTAATTATTACATGTTGACATTGGAAATGTATTCTGAATTTAGTTCTAATGAAATGTCTCATTTTAGTAAAATAGCAATATTAGTAATTTAGGGCGAATAAAAATCAAATTTTTCTATGTTTTACGACTTTGTGTAAGTTGCTTCTTCGGGTGAAGAGAAAACAAATAAATAAAAAAACGAATCAAATTCACAAAAGTTTTAATTATACACAACGAGTAAATCACTAGAAATGCTGAAAATTTCCACGACAGATTTAAGGCAATAAAAGATAGAATAAGTAGTGAGTTAAATCACCTCTGCGTAGGCAATTAAATATTTCAGTGTTCCTTTTTTACGTTCATACATACTAAATAATAATATCAGATGTAAAATGTTGGAATCTAAACTAATATCAAATACAACAGAATATGCAGTTTGATCATAATTTTAGTTATTATCATAAAAATATTTTGGAAAATTGTCTGTGAATCAAAATTGATCTAAATCGGTTCATTAGTTTTGAGTTGCATTCCGAGTACATTTTTAACATGATATATTAAAGACTAAAAGCCATTATAATCGTTAATTCACTTTACTGTGTAGCATTGCAATAAAATTAGGCAATTTTTCACAGTAATTCATTGGCAAACCAAACACTTCAATATCCCTACTTATGATGTTGAATGATAGAAGGTTCGACGTCTCATAATCGACCATTGATTCAATCAAGATTATAAAATTCACCATTCTATTGAGTGTTACCACTGGTCAGAAAGAAAAAAATGTCACTAGTTATGGCAATTTTCTTCTCAAAATATTACATCACTGTCTGTAATAAATAATTCGGGAAAAGTCTTAAAATTTGGTCTGTTTCATCAGTTTTCAATGATGCATATAAATTTTAATGAGAGACAATTGCTTAAAAAGAATAAAATTCACATATTATTAATATGTTGTCGGAGGATAAATGATTCTAGTTTATAGTTTTATAATGAATTGTAATTACATCCTTTTGGTATAGTAATTTTCATTCTGTTCACTTGATGTTATAAAGTTGTTGTGTTTTATAAAAAAGTATTAAATTTTTTGTTCATTTATAGCTAATATAATCTAAAGCATGCGAATTATTGTTGACCAGATTAAGTGACAACAAACAAATTCAATAATTATTCAAATTGTCATTGATAATGTAATGCATTTTTGGAGAATGAGAGGCTTTGAAGTTAAGAATAAATTTCATCACAAAAAATAATAATAAGACGCTATGCAATTATTGAATTCAAAGCTTAAACTCTTCAACAACATGACTCTGTAATGTGGAAGCGCTAGATCTAACAACGAGAATTACGTTTATCAAGACAATTTGAGATCGTCGGGGATGTTGAATCGCCAGAACTCACTTGAAAAATGTCCTAATTTTGGAATTTGCGTTTTCGTGCATAGTCTACTCAGCTGACCTTGAGATTATATTTCCGAATCGGAAAATCCTTGACTGTTATTGGTTGATGGATTGTTTCGGTACACTATTTCTGTGGCTTTCCTGAGGACATTTCTATCATGTATAAATAAACTCGATTTATATGCTTTTCAACCTCGTATTTTCTGGGTACTTGTGGAATACACTTTCTACGCCTTATCGAAATTTCTTGCTATTAGTTAGCAGGGCCGGAGGTATTCGAATCAGGATAGCCGATCGTGTCACTGTATCATTGCTTCGCTCTCGTGTACTGAGTAAGGTGATCTTGTAATAGTTTCAAGGATATCAGTTGAAGAGCCCATTAAGTATATGCTTTATTAGTTGTTTTACATTCTTTAAGTTAAGCAGTAGTCACACTGAATAGATTGCATTAACATTATGAACAATCTTATAAACATCTGCTTTAAATAAATTTGAATGTTTTTCCTACTTCAAATAGGACTTTATTGGGTTGCCAAAAAATGATGATGAAAACTTCTCATCTAACTTATCCAATTCAGAGAATGTAATTAGATGAAAATCATTCAAACTACTTAATTTTCCATATAATTCAATTTTAACTATCCTTATATTAAAAGTTGAAATAATAAACTCGTATAGTACAAGCGTAAAATGTTTCTCCTAATAAACGGCTAAATCAGAATTCAGTTATTTTTATATGGCTAACTATAATCTTCTTCCAGCTTTCTATCCTACTTACTTGTAATAGGTGGTAGAGCATAAGTAACACAATTTTGAGACGCTTTGATCGGTATGTATCCACACATCTTACAAACAAAAATGCAAAACTATCGTTTTGCTAGATGTAAATATTTTTTTAAACAAAATATGAAAGTTATCATTTTAAAAATTATGCATAAATTCAAGCTAGAATCTTGTTATAATAACTGTTATATAAATTATAATGAATTTCCACTATGTACTTGTGTTCATGAATCTATTGAGTATCTATCTCTCGATGTTCAATAGGTTTTCAGTTTCTAGTATTTTTGCATTCATCTAGCCAGTGAATGCTGAATATAAGAGTATAATTATCACTGCAGATTTCATTTCAATCTCTAACTTTCACTTTATTTAGACTTTTTTCAGCCGGTGAGCTGAGTTGAGCAGAGTAGGTATGATATAGCTTTAGATGATTAGAATGAAAATTAAATTTATCTGGAGCATTGATTCACTAAATGAACAAAAAAGAGCAATAAATCATACTTTTCTTGAGAATTGCGAAAGGCTGGCTATCCTCATGCACTACATTCACATAAGAGGTTCAGGTTATGAAC